GACACCGCTCTATTCGGGCCATGAAGGACACGCTCAACCATAAACTCCAGAGAACGAACAAGTTCAGGATCCAAAGGACCCTCGACCAGCTTGCTCGGGAAGCCAACGGATCACGTTCAGGTGTTTCAGTGCAGGCTTACCAAAAATCTGAGACTCTGCAAACTGCAACCTACCCTGGACTACCCGAAGCTCCCCAGGACGTGCACTGCGGCACGAAATTCTGGGAAGATAGTTCCTGCTTTCGTGCCTCTGTATTTGATACCCGGATCACACCTAAATGATACTCACTCAAGCCAGCTGCGCCGCCAAGACCTTTGCGATGAGCCCGAAGTTTTCTCCCTTCTCCCCGGAATTTACCACCCAAACACTTCAAAGAAAACATCCAAGATCAAGCTGATGTGGAGTCCTTCTTCTGGGTTGGACACAGAAATAAATTTGGAGCAAAACACACCCAAACCACCAGATGGCGAGCGAGGTTCAACAAAAACCAATCACCGCTACCCTGGCCCCGAGGGGCAAGACAAGATCTTTACGCAGATGTAAGACTCATTCAGAGCTTCGGCTAATAGTGGCAAGTTCTTGTGAGCTTTACGCAAGTCAATGGTCTTAGCACACATCCGAAGGCGGTCGACCATCCAGCCGGAGAACCAAAGAAACCACTATAGTGTCCACCCCCATGGGAGCGATCGTCCTTTCACAGCTGTTGGTCATATGAACCGAAAATTCGGACAAGTCATCTATAGGCCTCACCTTAGTAGATGCTGTCCCCTCCGAGTCAACATTTCGTTGCACAACCGAACCGTCGCCGACTAACCACAGCATTGTGTTGAACTGAGTCTAAAGAAAAAGGTCCTACCATCCAGCCACGATCGACCTCATTGAGCGTAACTGAATTCAGTTTTTCTTCTTCAAGATCTGAGTTGCCTGGTCGGTCGGCCGCCCCCAGTCTGGTGGTGCCACCGATACCCTGGACCTCTTCCAGGGTGAGGGTGGCAAACGAGGGTTTCAAGGGCAAGGTTGGATGTGCGGGGATAGGTCCCACCAGGTCAAATTCAAATCCCTAACAACTTTTGACAAACCCAGGGTCAGGATCCTCTGGTGGTAGCATCTCCTCGAACACCTTGATGCCTTGATGCGTTTGTTTTCCGAAATGGTCATGGGCATCCATCCCCTTCTTGAGCTCCCGTTCTTTGTCCTTCAACGAAGCATCCATTTATGCGTTTAAGCAGTCCTGCCTCTGGCCACTTCATGCGAGGGCTTTGTTCTTAGCGACCTAATTGTTTTCTCCGATCTAAGGAATGTTTTGGATGTCCTAAACGAACTGCCTCCATCAGGAATTCACACGGACTCCAAGAGATTCCTAATTTTGCGATGCTTGGGTGCTTGCCGTTCAAAGAGGAGCACGAAGAAGTCTGGAATTCACTGGAAGTATAAGGTTGCACCTGCCACGTTGGTGGGACTACAACAGCGGAAGTGAGTTTCTGTGGCAACTTAGGGAACATGCCTTGCAGGTGACTCGGTGGACGGATTTGAACTCGGCAACAAGTTCGATCTTCTTGTCGCGGGGCTGGTGGCCAGTGGCGGCGGCCGCCACCCGCATTGGGGGTTGCAGTTGTCCTCGGCCAACGAACGTGGGCGGAGTTCAGCCCCACATTTAGCCAAAAGATCTAGGACCTATGAAGACTTGGGCCCAAGCGGAGCATAAAGCCGTAGGGTATTCAACTTCCATGTGAGTGGACCACTGGCCACTGGAGTGTAGGCCCCAAGGTTCATGCTCGTGAGAGAGAAGGTGGCTGGACCAATCTAGTGTTTTTATGGCGAGTGGATCCGTACATGCAATGATGGAAGGTGACATGAGTCAAACGGGGATTTGTCATAGAGATTTCCGCGTTGAGGTAGGTCATGGTCGGCCAAGGACCGATCGGGATTTTCGATAGTGCACGCAATGCCGGAACGACAGGCGAAGGCCATGATCTCACTTGCAAGGCGGGGAAAGGGACCGTGATGATCCTCACGGCCATAACGCAGCTCATGGAGAGGGATAGACATCCTGATCCAACTGGCGAGAACATCTGAGAGAACGTGCTCACAGACCAGTTGGCAGCCATGCACATGCCTCCGCCTGCACCACGGCCTTCCATTCTGGGAGAGCCGTACACCCTTGCCATTTCCGGAAGCGTGACACCTGTCATGCTTCCACTTCTGCTGAGGCGTATGCGCGACTGTACTTTCCCTTTCTGCACGCACCTGTGCCAGCTTGTCGTGGCTGGCCTCTGTCGGTCCATGCGAACAGGTGCTGTCCCCGCCAACAAGGCAAAGGTCATTCGCCATCGAACCTCTTTGCAGCCCATCTGCGCTCATCTCCTGCGGAATTCTTCCCGCCCACCATGCTCCAGCCTAGATGGCCGCAACAAGTAAAGCATGCCATACCTGACCCAATTGTGTACATTCACACGCATATTGACACGGGTGTCACAGTAATTACGACCGGTGCACCACAGCGGCTGGTGAACGTTACCGCGCCTATGGATGTAAACAAGTTGCCAATCGACAACTGCAGGGTTGTGAAATGAAATTCACTGGCCCATTCTAAGGTCCAGAGCAATTGGAGTAATGGTGTGTGAATTAATGATTACACTGCGGATGTTGTAACTAACCAGGCGCGCGTCACGTTCCCACGGTGGTTAAGAACCAGTTGTAATTGTGCAAGCAGGCGCGCAGGAGTCTATCACCAAAATCCTGATTTGCGCTTGCAATATGGAGCATGTGGCAACCTGACATGGCGTAGGTGCCGCCTTGCACATTGAAGCACATTGTGAGAGAGAGAGAGAATCTTGTAATGCTTTGCATATCCAGAATTTGGTGCGCAGCTGTGATGGTTCACAATGGCGAGTGGGCTGGACAGGTTTTTGAGCAAGCGTTCAGTTATCAAAGCACTGTCACACAGGCAGCGGAGTCACAGATGACATCGTGATTTGCGGTGGCCACAATTCTTCCAAAGCGCGCCACTTTTAGGTCTAAGCCAACATTGTATGCAGGGACGGCCGTGTGAGCAGGCTGGCGGGGGCAAGGTGCAGCAGTTTTGGGATGTGAGACAATGATAGGACGCAACGGAACTATATACAACAGATTCTTTTTGGAAAGACGATTGACTTCAGGTTCTAGGATGTTCTCCAACAGTGCCCAAGTTGTATAGGCGCCAGTCAAAAGGACATTTATAATGGACATGGAGTGCGAGCATTTTTGAATCGGGACATGTACAACACGTGCACTCTCAACAAGAGTGGGGTGTTGGGAACCATATTTCACTTACGCGTGTCATGTCCTTGTAGCTTTTGGGCTGGATTCATTCGAAGATGCCAAAAGTGCCCCAAGTTTGCGCAGCATGGGGGGCCTTGAGATGGATTTCGAACAGCAACTCAGCGGCGAAGTGCTGGAATTGCAAAGGTATTTGGAGATGCGATCTTCGGCTGGTTTTGAATTCTTTTGTTGTTTCTTTACCAAAAGGAGGGTTTCTTAGCAATGTAGTTTTCCTGTTTTAGCGGGAGTACTTATATAGTGTTATTCTGTTATTCATTTTGTTTGGGTTGCGCTTTAGGCTGGAGTGCGCGTACGGGGGTGGTTTAATTGCAACTTCTGAGCTGTTTTTTGGTCGTTTTTTTGGGGGATGGCAGGTGTCTTAAAACAGTTTGTGTTTCTTTTGGGGGGAGGCCTCCCTTGCCATGAAAACTGTAGCTTCTCCGATGCCTCCTTCCTTCCCCTCCCTGCCTGTATGCCACGAAATCTGACTTCTAAAGAGTTGCACTCCTGCGCCATTTTTAAGGATCATTTTCCCTTTACCCGGAACAACGCAAACAAACAAAAGACAGCACGAGACTTTTGAATTTGTTATGTTTTTGTTTTTTTCATTTTCTTTCATCCGGGCAACAAACAAACATCACGGTCATCTTCCAAATATTTGTTTGGAACGCACCTTTCCCTGGACTTTGTGCAAGAAGGAGAGTGAGTGGCTGGTGGGGACCTCCCTTTCCCCACCAAAATAGAATATATCTCGCGAAAAGCTCGGAACCCTATATCATAAATGAAATTCACATAGTGTGAGCTGCGGCAGTGGCGACTGCGTATGCCCTTTTCTTTTTTTCCTGGGCGGTATTTAGACTAAGTGACAGATCATGGCAGCGGATCTTCATATTTGAGTTTTTCCTTGCAAACACTTCAACGCTAAGGATTTGATTTTCAAGACCACATCCTACAAGACCTGCAGAAGAAACTGCGGGAGGTGCATGACCAGCAGCGTATGAACGAACCCCTTGGTGGTCTTCCTTTGGTACGTCCACTGAATCGGACCACCACGAACACCATGGGCTCACTGGACACCATGGAGCAGCTGGACTTTTCCTTCACACTGGGTGGCGAAGGCCGCGAAGGCCGTGAAGGCCGCGAGAAGGAAATGGTCCCTTGTAAGCACTGATGGTGCCTTAAGAATGAGGCCAGGAGCTCCTAGTAGTGCCCTTGCTCCTAGTAGCGATGCTCTTTGCTCCTGTAGTACCTTCTTGTTCCTAGTAGTAAGGCCAGGAGCTTAAGGCCACCAGCGCCTAGTAGCGTCCTTGCTCCTAGTAGCGATGCCTTTTCCTCCTAGTAGCTTCTCGTTCCTAGTAGTAAGGTCAGGAGCCCCTAGTAGCGTCCTTGCTCCTGGTATGTGATATATATATATATATGAGAATTTAAAGAAAGTGCACCGTACTATCAGGCATTTGCCCGAGAGTCGGTGGAATTTTTGGAAAACATCGTGAGACCAGCCCTCCATTTTGACTCTGCGAGCCACAGCCGAGGCGCTGCCTGCTCGAACCGGCGTGTTCACACCTGAAGGCTCCGAGCGCGAGGACTATAGCCCAGCTTCCTCGGTGTCCGGCGCTCACCGCGTCAGCCGGGTGTCCCTCACCGACACCGACCTGCAGCGCCGCAGCCGCGCCGAGCGGCAAAGCCAACGCTTGGAGCGGATGCGCCGGGGTTCGTCTCGAGTGTCCTTTGTGCGGGCGCAGATGATCCCCCAGCACTTGAAGGCACAGGAAGCAGCCTCGTGACCCGGAGAGAAGGGGGGTAGAGAGAAGGTAGAAAAATACCTTTTTCAGCCTTTGGAGGTACTTTGGGTGGATGTTCTATCATGATAGCCTGAGGCGGTTGACCTACGCAAGGACAGGGGTGCGACACACCATCATGACACAGCCTGTGACTTGGCGGGGGAAGCTGCGGAGAGTCGTGTATTCGAACCACTTTAACAACGTCATCATGGCCCTCATCGTGGGCAATGCGGCCCTATTGGGCATTGAGATCGATGTTTCTGCACGCGTGGGCCAGGAGTTGGGAGTTGCGGAATGTGGGGTAACAGACTTGGGATCAACTCACGCAGATAGCAGGCTCAAGCAGCATGAACCATTCATAGAACAGCGTTTCACAACTGTTTGCCCAAACTGCACATTCAGGTAGAAGGTTTGGTTGCCCAAGCTGAACTCAACGAACTCAACGAGAGAGTGTGTGGGTCCATGCGGATGGGTGGGTGGTCTCCGAAATTGACCTTCTAGATTCTAGAATCTAGATCCTAGATTCCGAAAAGGGTTCTAGGATCTCTTTCCTCGGAGGACGATATCCCCGTGTGGTTCGGCGCTTTGAATACGGTGGCGGTGTGCGTTTTCGTGTGCGAGAGCATCCTGAAGTTGGTGGCTGTTGGTTGCCATGAGTTTTGGAGAGGTGAGGACTGCGTATGGATCCTTCGGCTTGATTTTCATGATCAGTTTGCTTCGGCTGGAGTTGCTTCTGTTCTAAAAGCACTGATAGGACAACAAGGGACCAAAGCAACTCCAGAAGCTCACAGATTGTCGGGCCCCTTCATGTTTTGAGTGTTTGTTTCTGAACTGGTTTTACTTGACCTCGTAACGCCCAGACATATATGATGTGCCAAGGTGGAAATTGGTCCAATTATATAGTTAGCTGTTTGGAATTGTAATCCAGAAGTGAGCAAAAAGGCAAATGGTTCGTTCTCCACTTCTAGAAATATAGGCCAATTGGGGAACCTTTTCCTCAAGAACCCCCAAGGCCACGAACAGTCTTTTGCCTTTGCCCTCGCAATGCAAGCCCAGCGCTTGTCCCAGGAATCATTGAGCTCGCCATCCAGAATTCACTTTCCTCAACATTAGCCAGGTAGCCAGTAATGACCTAGTGCTCCCCTGAGAATGAGAGAAAGATCCAGACACACACACACATACACCCATATGGCCCTTCTGAACATCCCAATCAAAACTGACCATTGAGAACCCCAGCCATTCCAACAACAACACGTCATGTGTCCAATCAGTTCCGGTGCCATGCTTGATACCCCCAGACAGCCGCAGTATACCGCAGATAGCAACTGCCCTACAGTAACCATCTAGGTGGCAATCGAGGAGTCAGAACAAATATGAACCAACATGAGCAAAAAAGTAAAGCCCGGTAACCCTGCATGAGTCGTTGCATGTTCACAGTCAACTGCAGTTCTTTTTCAGTCTCTTGAATTCTTTTTTGTTCTTTTGGTCTATTTGCTTCTTTGCCTTTGGACTTTCTTTCTGTCTTTGTTTGAAGGAATATCTTTGACTTTGTGATCGTCTCCATCTCTGTGGCAGAGACTTTGGTGGACTACATGGCGGCCACGATTTCGGCCGCGGATGGCTCCAACTCCTTCCGCGTCATGCGGGCGCTGCGCCTGGCGCGGACGCTGCGGGGGGTGCGAATCATCCGCGTTTTCAGATATTTCAGCGTGGCCCGGCAGGTGCGAAGCGAAGAGGATGAACGGGATCGCGTGCAGGAGGATGAGGGGACCTGTTGGTTGCACGATACGTTCAGACAGAGTCCCCCCAAAACGATCAGTTTTTCTGGAATTTGGGGTTGTGCATGAGCATGCGTGAGTTACAAGGGAATGAGAAGGCACGAAGACAGGTTGCAACGGGCCACACATCCTGAATGCTAAGCGAAGCACAAGATCAAAGAGGGGCATCCAGAAAAAGGACAGGACGAACTTGGGAAGAGCATGGAAGAGCCTTGCATTATGCTGTAAAATGGGCCCACAGGAGGCAGAGTCCAGTCATAGGGCTATTCTTGACAATCCGTCATTCCTCTCACCCTTTCATCCGAGGCTTTGCGAGGCTTAATCCTCTCTATCTTTAGCACTTTGGGATCTTTGCTGTGGACGTTGTTGCTTGGCGCGTTCGCGCTCGCTTGCGCGTCAATTCGGGTCCTTCGCAGTGAACTTCACCCTAGGCGTCGCCAGCGTGTCAACTTGGGCGATGCGGATGTTGATGGGGTCCAGACATGAAGGTGATGCCCTGCATGAAAATGGAAGGACAAGCAATAACCCACAGAAGTTATATAACTGCGATCTGCAAAAATCAAGGAAAATAACATAGCGAAAAGCCAGGCGGAATTAGCCACGTGTTGGTGTGAGATGTGTTCGCAGATGTTGCTTGTACATTGCAACAACTATAAGACCCGGCTTCGAGGCTGTTGCTGCTCATCGTGTTCTATGTCTTCTCCTGTATTTTTACACAGCTTGTGACGGACTATTGCCGTTTTGAGACCATCGAAAAGGAAAGCGACCCCAACGCGGTTCCAGTGTGCCCACCCTTACTACAAGAATATTGGTCCAGCATCCTCAACAGCTCTTGGGCTGCATGGACAGGTCATTCTTTCACCGCTTCTTGCAATGTTAAGACCTTGATTCGCTATTAGGGGAGGCCATAGCTACTAGGGTGGAGGCCATCGCTATTAGGTTAAGTTTCCTTGTATACTACACTCTTCACACCATGGGTCGCCCTGAGTTGATGCATTTTTGCCTAGGTATGATGACACTCTTTTTCTCAATCACTGGCGGCGTCAATTGGTACGATGTGTATGTACCCTTGAGGGACGTCTCGCAACTTGCGATTGGCCTGATGAATCTTTACATTGTGATTGGTTTCTTCACGATATTGAATGTCGTTACTGGCGTGCGCCCTGGTGAAGAAATCTTTGGGGCATTTTCAAGGCAAACTGACTAAGGTTCATTTTTTGGTGTCTCCCCCCATGTTGGATGGTCAGAACAAACACCTCGATTGCTGCAAATCTGTGGGGGAAACGTTGCTCTGGCATTTTCGTCATACTTGTTTCCCAATGTTCCTTCCTCTGACCCTCTTCTTGCATTCCAGTTTGACGCCCAAACACGCCAACGAACTATGAAACACGTCGCGAGGTTCGTCAATACCGCCATCGAGAGTGCCAGTGCAGACAAGGATATCGCGACCTTGAAGCAGATGCACAAGAGGGTCGCACAAATGGCACCTTGACCCGTTGGAAACAACCTTTTTCTTGCGTAGCATTTGGGTTTGGGCTGTTCACCTGCGTGCATCTATATGCTATAATGTGCACTTCTAGGTGTCCCCACATGCACCAAGCTCAGCTAGAAAGCCCGTGGGGGCTGCAAGATCGCTCCGTTAGAGTATGTACAATTCTCACATGGTGAATTGGCCGAACCTGCTTGGATCTTGTGCAAGTGTTGGACAAGCAGCACCACATTACAATATTTACAGCTTTCGCTGGGTCACATACTGCATGGGGGAGTGTTGAAGGGATAATTTGCTTGGTGCAGCATGCGATTCTGGACAAGAGAGAGTGTGTTGAAGATCTTGGTTTACTCATACTAGCTTTATGCTCAGCACATTAGCAACATTCACGACACAATAGAACAGACAGTGTTTGGAGAAGGGCCATTCTCGACATGTCATAAAACATTTAATTACTGTTAGTGTTCATAACCATTTTTCAAGCAGATCGCCGAGTCCTCACGCATCACATGATGAACATAGTTCAAGACACACAAGAAGCCGGCCAGCGAGCCAGCGAAGAAGCTTCGTGGATGGCTTTAGTTATATAAGTTGTTGGAGTCCATCTACTGAACCTTGTTGTCGGATGCCTTGGTAGAAAAAAAACTAAGATGACTCACACTGAACCATGGGGATGCCTGTGCAGAAACTGTTTGAGTTTGTTTGCTTGTCTAATTTTAATTACTGTATCTAGCTGGCCCTCAGGAGGGAACTCAGGAGCCGGACATATCCAGTTCTTCCCCATTAAACCGGGAGCCAAGGAGCTACAGTTACAGGATGTTACAGGGAGTTTCCCAACCCCCTGCTACTTATTGTTATTTGTGTCAACTGTACATCACTCCTCCAAGTTGCACAGCTGGGACTGGCCCATCCGCTGCTTCCGAGGAGTCCTTGCGTCAAATCTTCTACGAGATTGACGAGAGCAATGCCAACCAAGTGACCCGACCAATGCGTTATGGATGGTTTCTTTGGTTCTTCAAGGTGTCAGACTGTCTCACCTTTTCCCAATTCCATTGATCCCGATCATGTTGCCTACATGCCGCACTGTCCTGCCCCCATGCCAAGACAAACGCTTTCACAATGCCAGCGGCACTTGCCTTTTCTACTGGTGTTCTTAAAAGGTCAGCCAGAGGTGAGATAGATGATGAACAGGGTAGTGACGTGATCCATCTTTTGCTTCTTTCTTGGAGATCTCCCCGCGACGGAGGAGTTTTTAAGGTCAGCATCGATGAGCTTGAGGAGGCTCTTTCAGAGGCTGAGCTTAATTTTGGATCGGCCCGGACGAGGCTTTGTGCTTTGCAGATGTCACAATATTGAGGGAGTTGTAGGCCTGACTGTAGGCTTTAATCAGCCTCAAAGGGAGCTCTCACAGGGGTTGACGGGGAATGACGGGGAGAGCAGATGGATGTAAGAAGGTGCTCTGGGGCCTCTGGGGGTTCAAAGGTGCTACAATGTGGGGATCTTTGTTTCGTGGGTGTTGTGCAAGTCGCTGCATCTTTCACTGGTACTTCCACAATTTACATATCAGCTGCGTCCTTTGGAATCACAAACCTTTCGTGAAGTTTTTGATTGCAAAAGTGTGTGCCATTCAATTGTTTTGATCTGACTGCCGTTGGAATTCTAATGCTTCAGCTAGAGCACCGTGTGTTGGACGAGGGTGCAAGATAGTTTGGCAGCATTCCAATCGCAGATGGGCTGTCTGGAGTTGATCAGTGTGGCTTGTGTACGGAATGACAAAGCAGTCTTCCAGTCGATCCCCACTCTTGCCGAAAAGCTGGCGCCGGAAGAGGGTACTTTGTTAATTGCTTCACCCAAAATTTCGGGAGCAGAGCGGGCGAGAATTGCAATCCAACAAGGTCAAGCAGTGGAAGGAAGTCCTACCAAGACCTTTGGCGTCGTTGGTACAGAGACGCGCTCTGAAAAAGCGAAAAGCACCCATTGTCGCGAAGAGAAAAAGTTCCACTGCAACCTCGTCAGCTCACGTCAAGCAAGGCTGAAGCTGGGTGACTGTGCTCTGGATTGGCTTTGGCCTTTCTTGGGCTTGCAGCTGGAAACTCTGGGAAGGTTCGGCCCCACCCACCCACCCCCAGCCAAAAAGCTACATTTAAGTCTTGATCATTTTGACCTCTAGCATCTTCTAGCTGCATGCTGGGGCGCAGGGGCTGGCAAGCCATTTGCAGACGGCAGCCAGGGCTGAAGGTTGGAAAAGCGGCCAGATGCGATGTGCGAGTACAGTGAATGCAGACCACGCCCCCCCACACACACATACATTCTACCGTACATAGAGTTCCAAGTTTCCGGCGCATTTATCCTCAAGAGCTGTAGATCGGAGTTGCAGGCGCTTGATGGATCGCGGTTTGCCTAGCTGGTTGTTTGTGGTCGGCTCACACATCCTCAGGTCTTTTCGTGGTTGGTCGGAGCAGGCCGCACTGGAAAGCGAGATGGTCTCAGGCTTTAACCAAGTTCTTGAGACTGGCAACTGAGGGTGAGGAATGACAGCCACTTGTGGGGTGTCTGAGCCTGCTGTGTTGCCGTTGACGAGGGCTGGTGCAGCCTTCAGACCTTCTGCGTGGGAAGGGTGCAGACAGACTCTAGCCATAGACCGGGCGCTCAACATTTTTGATCATCAAGTGCTCCTCCATTTTCCTCATGATGCCGTTGCTTTTCCTACGTGGTGATGGTCTGCATAAGGTCGTCCTGACTCCTGACCCCCAAACATGGATTTGGAGGTGGTGCCGAGCACGCAGCCACACCGAGTGCACTTTCGCCATGGTCCTTTCCCGCCCGACGTAGCGTGTGAGTGTTACATTTTTGACGAGATCACCAAAGCTGAACTGGAGCGCCAGCGTAGGCTTACTCGGGCGATGGGCTCAGTTCTTGATGATTCACAGGTTGTCAATGTCAATGCCGTTCATTGGTATGTTGCTGATCATCTGATCCGTCGTCAAATGATCCCTGTTGAGAGTGTTGGTGATGTTGTCGGCCTTGGGCAACATGGCGTGGTGCAGTGGGGGGTGAGATGATGTGGAAGAAGCGAGCATGGGCGAGGTTGAGGGGTTCAAGGATGAGGAAGGACTTTTTGGGTGATGCCAGGTTGTTCGCAGGACGCTCTCTCAGTGATGTCTGGAGAGAAGTTCAGTGATTGCGACTTAAACGGACATCAACGTTTAGCTTGCGAGATTTGTGCACCGTGAAAGTCCCATGCCATCCCAGGCGCATTTATTCTTAAGAGTTGCCTGCCACGCCCACCTCTCTCTTGAGGGGTGGGTCAGATTTCTTTCAGACGCCGTGTGTTCGTGTGATTCATCGCGATCACTTGCGAATGTTCGTTGGTGATTAGCAATGCTTGAGAATGGACCAAGGTGCTTGAATGTAGGCTGGGAAGTGGAGACCGGGCACCTATTTCATCTTATGTCTCAAGAAGAACTAAGCAAGGAATGCTACAGCGCCCTGCCTATGCGTGTGCAACCTGCCGGGTCGCAGCAGCTGTCTGCTTTTTGTGTTGCCGTGCTTGGGGGCATGCTCCTACACCAGCAGCCGTTTGCGCGAACAGGGTCAGTTGCAAAACTTTCATGCTGCCCAACGCCAGCATGGAGCTTGCAGTGCAAGGCTGTGTGGTGTTGGAAATTGGCGTGCCAAGGTGTGTGCGGCCCACGGAAGTCTAAATGGCTCTGCAGTATGTCAGTATGTCCATGTTGTTCCGTGCTGGCTATGTGGGGGCAAATCTTGAAAGCCAAGGCACGCGCGCAGCACATCGAATGTGCCGGAAAGGATCCGCCGAACCAAGGCCATCGAGCCCGCGTCCGATCCGCTCAACGCAAGAATCGGCTCCATGGTGATCTTTGGGTGCGTACTAGAGACTCAGTCAAAAAGACAGTGTCTCAGCGCCTGGACAACAAGTAGCTCCTCAGATGGGTCTTGTGACGGTGCTGGTGAAAAGGGATGTCTGCTGTGTTCCGCTGCCATGAGGTATTAACTTGTAGATCATCTAACGTCTTCATTGAAAAGTACTATATAACTATATAACCCTGTTTTTCGTTCGTCAACGCAGCCATTCCACAACAACATCTGCCATTGCCCATGGTCGGCCCGCCACTCTCAGAACCAAAGGTGTGTATGGGCGGGGTAAATGGAACATGTAAGCAACGCGTGCGCAAAGCTGGTTGTAGCGTTGCCAGCATCAGGCCATTGAGTTCACTGTTTTCCTTCCATCTAAGGAAAACAAACTTGGCACCTTCATGGAATCATTGGGCATCTCCACGGATGATGTGTGGAGCCTTTTTGTTTTGATCGATGCGGATGACAACGGCATTGTCGATCTGGAGGAATTTGTCAATGGCTGCATGCAATTACATGGCCCTGCCAAGAGTTTGCAGGCCGCTCGAGCTTCTTGATTGGGGACAGGGCGTGCATTCTTCGCCAAAGGCATGTGTTTTTTACTGGAACATTTCCAGAACAACAAGTGGCCTCCAGATTTGGGCGTCGGTCAGGACCAACGAGCCCAACAACATGGTAATTTGTAATCGTTCACGCTGATATCATATTTAGATGTTGTTTGGATATCAAAAGAGGGCCCCTTCATTTTAGGACCCGCAACGGAGCGTCAATGATGCCCACAACCAACTGCAACAAAACATGGGTTTTGTTGGCTGCATTGGCCAAGTGTAGCTGCAACCACTACAGCCGCCAACGCGAAACCATGACAACCTTGGAAGGTGCAAAATGCTACAAGGGAGGTCAGGGGATACATCGTGCAAAACAAGGTAAATGATGCGGAAATCACCTTTATCCGGCCCAAACTGAAAAGAAGAGGGGTTAAAAACAATGCGCAGAATCCGAACCAAGAGCACATTAATGTGACTCTCCAACTGAGCTTGCGCGTTCAAAGTTTTCTTCGGGCCCCGGATTTGGGCGATCCACTTGCTTTCTCAACCAAGTTTTGAACATGAGCAGTAAGCACCACCTCTGGAGAGGAACCGGGTAGAGAGCACATTGCAAATGCTCAGATGCTAGGTGGCCAAGATGAGCTATGAGAATAAACTCACACGATGCTCGGATGATTGGAGCAGTGGAGAGGGGACAGGGCCACACGTGGCTATACTATGATATGCGAATGTTTTGTCCAAACTTTTGTTTTGGCAAACGGCTTGCAAAATCCATCTCATGACCCGGTGCTTTGGTAATTCTGGTGAGATGTGAGGACAAGCGATCAAACTCTTGAGCGAAAATATCAAGGAGGTCAAGGCCATGATCGGCCTCGCGCTGAAGTACCGCCTGGTACGTGAGCCGGTGTGAGCTCCAGGCTCTGGAAGGCTGAGGTGACAACTTGACAACCTTCGTGGTATTTGGTTGTCGCCTCCGCACGTGGCAGAGGGCTTTGAACAGTTCTTTTCCACATTTTCCTCTTGTAAATGCCTTGATTTTTCTTGGTCCCTGGTCGGCAAAATTGGACGGACTTGTTGAGAAGAGGGTCAGGCTCAACTAACGGACGGAGATGAATCCATCGGGTGTTTTGCTGTCCGCCGTTGAATCTTAAGGACCAGGATCTGCAAGAACATGTCTTAACTCAATATGTGCTTTCTTCTTGGCGAAGCCATGAGGGGAAGCACGTGCAGTCAGTGCGTAGTTTCACTGGAAGATGTTGGGTCTTGTCGTTTCGGCTGCCTGTTCCCAGCAAGGGGCCTTGACATATACACTGATGGGTTCAAACTGAGCAAGTCAGTGGAAGGGGGATGGCAATCTCTTGCAACTTGTTTCAGACCCATGCCCACGGAGCATACTGCTCTTCAACAGTTCCTTCGGTCCAACAATTGTCGATGCTCAGAGAAGCATCCGGCTCTTTGATGTTGAAAGATCCAAGAGACCTATGGAAAGCAGTACATTTTTACCTGTCAGTCCCACTCGGACAAAGAATTAGGGTCATTAGGGTTTCAGACGCCTTGTAGGTGATGCAATTACTGCCGAACTGGCGGCGCAAAAAACACAATGTGCAGCGAAACATTGCGCTTTCCTGGGTGGTGTCACATCAAGCACGACACTGTCGGCTCTCTGGCAACAACTGGCACGGCATAGACTCCAAGAATTTCTCCACTTTCGATTCTAAACTCCGTCATCGTTTGTGCCTAGGGCAACATCCTGTTGGTTTCCTGACGAAGGTTTCCGGACGATTTGACCCGACCCTTGTGGCGGCCGCAGTCGAGACCGCCTGTGGCGGTGCGAAAAAGGGCGGCGCAGCAGTGGCCTAGCGGGATAAGTGACAGCAGGGCAATCAAGCGCATCGCGGGCATCGCTGCAGCGAAGGAGTCAATGGGGGCATTGCTGCTGTGGTTTTGGGTTCTTCATGGTCCTTGCTTTAAACCAACTGTTGAATTATGTTGAATTTATGGGTTGGTTAAGTTGGTTATGGTTGGTTTCATAGCCACCGAACAACTCCCAAGTCACCGACATCGAAGGGGGATCGTGCGGGACCAATCGCAGAAGGGATCGAGTGGGACGGATGGGGTGGGCATCGCATCAGGCGACGCGACGTCACGAGCTCTGGATTGCCATCGCATTCCTTTCTTTCGCATCGCCTGATGCGATATGGCATGGAAGCCCCCAAAGTTCTTTTGCCGTCGTTTTCGTGCAACACCTGCATGTGGCCCAGTCTTCAGAAGGCCGTCGCCTGTTCCTTGGCATGAAGTTCTTACAGCCTGATACCCCCCAAAAAGGGCACCAACTCAACCCGTCAACCCCTTCAGCATCTCATGTTCACGTGTGCTGAGCTTCGTTTTTGCTTCCCTCTGGCAAGCTCACATGCATTTCGTTTGGCCAGCTGCCATGGAGTGCGATGAAGGGCTGCAACTGGAGAAGGTCGATCTCAGCGGTGAATTGGGCACGCTGAAGCTGCTCCTTGGCTGTGCTTCTTCGATCGCTTCTGGGGCTGAGGTCGCAACTGGGGAAGAGGGAAAACCAAGGGCATCAGGAAATTCAAGAGGTGGCTTTGTGTGGTTACTTTATGTGGTCTATGCATGTCTATGCATGTCTATGCGGCACATGTTGCGCCTGTTGAGAATGTTACTCTTTTGTACCCTTTAACTTGTATCCCCATCATGAGGCCATTAGCCTCCAAGACTTTGAACGCTTCACAATGCTTGAATCATGTTCGTATTTGATTCTGATGTTAGTTCTTGTTCTATCGATTTGGTAGTCGTCCTTGCCAGGTACTTGGACATGCAATTTGAGAAGCAATCAGCTTTGATCGGCATGGTCCTAGCGCAAGGACGGGGCACTTCCACTTCTCTTCAAAGCCCTCCCAGTTCGCCCAGCCCAGCCCCGAACCCATCGAGCCCGCTGAATTTCAAGCTACGAGAACAGCTCAGTGGTGTTTCCAGTGGGCAGATGGGAAGCGAAGATGGGAACCGCTTACACCTACAATTGCCTCAGACACAAACTCGAGAACTGGAAGATCAGCTGCACATGAAGCAGGGTGAATTGATGCGATCTTCAAGTGTCCTGGGCTCAACAATGACACATTTTGGGATATGTTCAGATGACTGCCATAATGCTCACATGTCAGATGGCATGTGCTCCAGTTTAGCTAGCAGCTGTTTTTGCTGACCAGTGGATTCCCACCAGTTTAGCTGAGTAGCTTAGCGAAATATCTTGCATAGATTTCCATGTTCAACAAAAAGCCGGAGCCCACTGATCACATGGCAAGAGAGGGTCTATCATGGTCTACCAACAATGTTTGCCTTAGATCCCGACAAGTGGTGAGCAAGGGTGGGTTGAGTCGACCTGTGTGCCACCCGCCAAGCATTTGGCTTCATCCAAAAGAACACCTCACGTGACAACTTCAAGAGCCTTTTCCGGTGAACATCGGAGAACATCGAGCTTTGCAACTCACACTGAGGCCGTTTGAGGAACAGTTCCCGGACCTCCTTTGTGCGAAATGCCCAGCTTGACCGCCACATGAAAGCGCAAGCACAGGCCTTGCGGATTGCAACTGCCCGGGCAAACACCATGAGAGCCACTAAGCAGGCGGGAAGTGCGGGGCAGCAGCAGCATGATCTTTGAGCAAGTTGGAGTCTAGAATCTTGGAGCAAAAGATGGTTGATAGAACGGCAGCCTGTGCTGTGCTGTGCTGTTTGTCCGTGTGGTGTAGTCTCCGTCTAATTCTTTGATTCTCAAGGTGTGCCCATTGGATGCTTCTGACTTTGGTATGGGGTTGATGATGTGGTCCTTTGGTTTTTCAGGTGGAGATGACCAAGACCAGCTGCAGACACTTTGCAGAGAGAGTCGTGACATGGAGCTGTTTGAGCAACGTTGAATCCGTGCTACGCATCAAAGTGTTCCAATCGTCAAACGATCAGAGTGGCCGATGCGATCCGAAAGAGGTCAGAGGAATCCAGGAGGGTGTTCCATTCGTTTGTTCTTATTTCTGTGTATGTAATAGTGATGGCATGGCATGGCATGGCATGTCAGGTAGGTTAGGTCCGGTAGGTTAGACAGGTTAGGTAGGTTAGGTATGTAGGTAGGTAGGTAGGTAATGCAATGCAATGCAATGCAATGCATGTAATTACTGTATGTTTGTATGGTTGGTATGGTATGTAATGTAATGCAATACATCAAATGTATGTATGCATGTATGTATGTAATGGAATGGAATGCAATGCAAAGTAATGTATATATTGCAATGTTTTGCAACGTAATGTAGTGTGATGTGATGTATGTGTTTCATGGTATTGTATGTGTTGTCTTGCATTGCATTGCATGGAATTGTGTTGTGTTGTATTGTTGTATTGTACTGGACAGTGCTGTACTGTACTGTACAGTGTCGTATTGTACTGTATTGCGTTTATATACGTAGTGTAATTTAGTGTAGTGTATTTCAACCACATGTTATGTATGTATGTATGTATGTATGTATGTATGCATGTATGTATGTATGTATGTAATGCAATGTAATGTAATGTAATGTAATGTAATGTAATGTAATGTAATGTATTTAATGTATGGTATGTATGTATGTTATGTTATGTTATGTCATGTCATGTCATGTCATGTTATGTTATGTTATGTTATGTTATGTATGTTTGTATGTATGTATGTAATGTATTTTTTTTCTCCTAGAGGTTTCTTTAGCTGCATGTACGAGGGCTCTTTGGCCAGCTGCGAGCCGGCCGCTGCAGGTTCATGTAGATGAGGAGGTCCTGGTGCTTCAAAAGAAGTCAACATCGATCTCGGGTTCAGGTGTTGCTGAACTTTCTGAGCTTTCCAGGGCAATGGCTTCCTCAAGCTGTGTGGCCTGCAGCTGGGTGGGGCTTTGAGTATCGGCTCCATGTGTTCTGTGCCGTTTGGCATCAGTTGGAGTGGTCACTTGCAGCCCGTGCTGCGTCTGATGCTGTTGCCCGGATGGTGGCTGGGTTTCATGGCCTGCCTCCTGCCAGTGCGCTCGTGTGAGTGGTTCAGTCAAAGGCACAGCATCAGACTGTGGTTGCCCAAATCGCTTCGAGCCTGCTTCAAGGCTGGAGTTCATGGCCTGTGCAGGATTTGGGTTGTCTTCCGCTTGAGTGAGCGGTGTGGCAAAGTGAAGCCTCCGTGGAGTTGGCTTAGGTGGACCATCTGGTGCACCTCTGCTGGTGGAACTGCTGTGTTTGTCAGCCGATGTTGCCTGTGTTCCCTGGCGTGCAAAGAAGTCAGTGAGTGGTGGTGTTCCAACCTGAGCAGCTCCTTTGCATGACTTCTTGAAAGCTGCTGTGAGGATGACCCTCTGCTGCCCATCAAGGTGTAGGGTGAGGCCACATTGGGTGCAGGAGACCTTGGTGCCTTTTTGCCACAGCATATGGCTGCTGTGACCTTCATGAGGATGAGTGTACGGCAGATCCAAACACTGCCCGGTAACAAAGGCTTGGAAGGTGCCTTCATTGCTTCGTTTGTGGACATTGGTGCCACACTTGACACAGCGTAGGTATCCAGCAGTCTCGGCGATCTCATGCTGAGTTTGGAGCAGTTGCTTGATGGTCTGCTGCCTAGTCATCTTCTTCGGCAAGGGTTGATGTGGAGTTTCCGGCTCTGGGAGCTGTGCCTCAAGACGGAGCTGTGGGCATTCCTCTTTGAGTCTGTCCTCAAGGATTGGCACAGTGAGGGCCTGGTGCACTCTTATGCCACATACTCCACACTGGTATCCGCTGCGGTGAGGTGCCCATCGATGTAGCGGAGCTGTCCAGGGCTGGCGGCAGGTGCCAATGAGCTGCTTCTTGTATTGTTTGGTGTGTTTGCCCTGATGCCTGTCAGGCTTTTGATGGATGTAGTGATCTTTGCTGTCGAAGATCACTGCCAGTCTGTTGAGGGCATGCTGGTAGATGAGGGTGTGGTCGTCATCAAGGACTCGTTGCCAGTCCGTCTTCCTGGAGTCTTGGAAAGTTTTGGCCCTTTCCCATGCTGCTAAAGCGGCGTCTCGTTGTCTTCTGCGCAACTGGGGCTCACTGCCTGGTGCCTGTGGGGATTTGGTGTTCCTGGCCACATATAGCACGGTGACTCTTTGGTAGTCTTGCGCAGTGACTTGTTCCAGCTGGTCAAGAAAAGGCCCTCGATGCTTCTCCTGTGTCCATGCCTCCCAGACACTGCTAAGCTGCACAATGACCCTCACTGAAGTAGTGGTGTGCTTGGCCAAGGCTATCAATCCTTCCATAAGGGCCCTTGCCTTGTTGTGAGGTGCAGGTGGAGTACCTGTGATGGCCGCAAGTCGCTGCAGTTGCCCCATGGTCATGGTGTGTGCACATAGGCCAAAGATCCAAAGCTGATCACGTGGGTCATAGCTGGAGGGTGTGGCATCCAGAGTGAAAGCCCATCCTTGATGAGGGTGGGGCGCCAATTGCTGTAGTCCCTGCCAGGCTCCATGTCCTTGGTACGGATGTGCACTGTGCTGGTCCTCTTGTGGTTCCAGTGGAATCCATCCAGTCTCCCACAAGGGTGTCTCATCATCTGTTAAGATGCGCTCTGCCCACTCTGCCGGCATGGGAGTGTGCTTTTGATTGTGGTGCCACTTGCGCAACCGCAAGATGTGTTTGGTAGTAGCCGGAACTTTGCAAATGGGACATTCTTTGGCTTTGCCATCTTGCTTGTAATGCAGGGCTGCCTGTGTCCAGGTGCGCAAATGGGGCTTGTGGCCACCAGGAATGGTCTTGATCAGCTTCCTGTAAACGTGCCAATCCAGGCCGGTCACAAGGTGCTTGTGGCTGGGTTTGCTGGCCAGCCGGGCAATGCGCTGGTCCCTGGCCTCCTGCTTCAAGGTCTTTTCGATTTTCCACCACGGGTCTTGCAGGGTGATGTCCTGTTCGGGTAGGAGTTGACTGCCGGGTCGATGCCATCTTTGAAGTTCGGGTACCTGCCAACCCCATTCCAGGAGATATGTGATTGTGGCAGCCATCGGCCCTCGGACCACATACCATGGATATTGCCTCGCTTGGAGTTGGTTGTGGAGTTCTGTCCAAGCCTGCTGTAGGTGCTGCATTTGTTCTGGTGGCCAGTGGTGATACAAATGGTGCATAGCCTTGATGTGATGCAGGGTGACTTGATCCGCAGGATCAATGTATTTCTGACTGTGGAGGTCGTAGGTGATGTCGAGCAGACCTCCTGCATGGTGGCCTAGATGTGTGGCCAATGCTTGTCTGAGGGCTGTTCTGTACCTGGGTGCCAAACCTTGGGATTCTACACCCCAAAGTGCCACTGGCTGGATGCCACCACGATGAAGTCTGAGGCGGACTTTGAGGGCCGGGATCTTCAAGGTTCGCAACTTGATCCTTCGCTGACGGTCGCAGGACTGGGATGCGCCGTCTCCTGGCCGCCTGATGATCAACTCCCAGGTCTCTCATCACCGTGGAAATTGGTGGCTCGTGTTCTTGTA